ATCTAAGCTGCCCTAAAGTAAATGCAAGGAATTCTCTTTTGATGTTGCAAAATTCTCAAATTTTCGGCCTAAATAAATACCCAAATAATACGGACGCGCGAGATGATGCAAATCTACTTTTAGCCAACGCTGAGGGGCTGGCGTGCGCCGCACATTTTACAGCCCGACAAATTGTCACAAATAACGCCAATTCGTTGACTGCGACGACGTCTGTGAATTGTCACGAAATTAGCGCATTTTATGTGCAACATTTGCACAAGCCTGCAAAGCACACCCCGCTAGCTGCCCGCTCCCAGACATATTTATGCTTTTGGCGAACCGCCTTCACTCTTTGCTTTTTACGACACGCAGCGCAGCGCGTTTCAGCTGCTTAGACATAAAGTGTGGCGTTGACTAGAAATGTGTGCAAAAAAGCAACAACAACAACAACCACAAGTGCATTAGACAAGCGCGACAGCTAAGAAAGTGCATATGTTAGTTTATGTGCATATATAAATATGAGTGTGTGTGCTTGCATTTTGCCGCTAAAAGAACAACGGCGACAATGACGACGCTGACGACGCTGACGACGAATTAATCTCTCGACATTTGTTGCAATTACACATTGTGCGACATGAAAGCAAAGTCAAACAAATAAACAGCTGAGGTGCATGACGCGGCGGAGAGGAGACAGACTTTCGAATTACTTGCACTTTGGATGACGGCCAAGGAATTATGCGCGATTTTATGTGCGGGAAAACTATGAAATGTCTGTATGTATAGGTGTGTGTTTGTGGTGCCTGCGGATTTGCTCGCTTATAAAATTATGATCCATCCATATATATAGCTAGATATATACACTTGCATCTCTATATATATTTGTCTGCGTTTGTTGTTGCTGTTGCGAAGTGTTAACAAAATAAAAAGTTGCATCGAAATGCTGCAGCGCCTCTTCTCTTAGCATAAACTTGGAGGTCCTGTGTGAAAGTGTCAAGTGAGCAGCTGGATCGCTTATAAAATAATGCTTTGTCTGCTTTACTGAAAAATTAGACAAATACTTGAATGTCATTAGTTGAGTGTTTAGTGTGTTTATATTATGAATTTGTATCAACCATTTATTTTTTATATTTTCACATTATGTTACCCACAATATATCTGATACACTTATATGTATATATATATGTATATAATTCGAGACAGATACATATATAGTCAGTATGACGCCCATTGACATCCGGGAAGACGAATTCACGCGAGTATCCAAGTTATCAGAGGCGGCTTTAGGCGCCAAAAAAGCAGAGAAAACCAAAGCATCAATATGTGGCAGCAACAGTGGCGAACCCACAGACTAATACCGGATATCCATTCGTGGATAGATAGACGACATGGAGACCTAGATTTTTAAATACAAGGGAAAAACGAAAAAGTACACTCGGTGGTATTTTATGGTTTGACAATACTCATGTGTCAGTCCACTGAGAAATGGAAGGCTGTAAGCGAGGCGACAGGCTCACTCATGACAAAACTGAGAAACTATATGTTGAAGAGATTAGGCGTCCGTCATTCCGCACCATAGCGGAGACTTGTCACTCCCAAGAAGTGGTAACCAATCAGCTCATTCCGTGAAAGAGTCTTGAGTTGAGTGTAGGTAAGGTTTAGCGGATTAAAGCTCCGCACTTCGGCTGTAGATGCTTCCGTCTACTAAAAAAAAAAGATCGAGACAATATTTATTACCAAGACACAATCGAAACAGTGGAACTTAACCTCCGAATCGAGTCGAAGACAGTCCCATCGGCTATAAAGCTGACCTCCACCGTTTTCTGTGATTCAATAGCTGTGATCTACATCAACCGACTAGAAAAGAGTTTCTATACCTTGATAAAGCATTGACTCCTACCTCCGCTGTCACCACAGCCAAATTGACCGAAGCGAACTGCAGGCTCAGCCATCGTATTCTCCAGGTTTCGTTCCGTTCGACCACTTTTTGTTACCAAGCATTAAAAAAAATGACTCGCCGGACAGAAATTTGAGTTGTACGGGACGGAAGGAAGAAGTTGGAGCATCGTTTAGCTAAGTGTATCGAACAAAAAGAGCCTATATTGAGGAATAAATCACGATATTTCCAAAACTTTATTTTTCTTTTGTATACTAAGCGATTATCGGGCAGCTCTCGTATATTCATATGCTCTTTAAAATATTTAAACATCAAATTTTTTTTCTGTACTACTTCTCCTACTTTTTTTCAACATTAATAATTCATAAAACTATTTGGAAATACCGCAATAATAGACACTCAACTATTTTTATGCCAACAACAAATCTGCATAAAATTGAAACAATTGCACCCCACGTTGTGGCACGAAGCACTTTAGATTGCCACCTACTTGGTATAATTTTCCACCTACTGAGACACAGTGCTACGCCTATTCGAATAGGTGGAGTTGAAGCGCTGCGCCGATCCATGTAACAGTGTGGCAATAAAAGTGGAGAAATATGCAACATTTTTTCTACACACTTATGTACATACATATATTTACATATGTTCACATGTACATATATGCATGTGTTTAAGAAAAAGAAATATTTTTTTTCTTTGGCTGAAGTTAACTTCATTGAAATTTATTGACACCACACGGCGACGCCTTTGTTGCATGCCTCATTTGCAACGATAATTAGCACGCAAAAATGATGCAGCAAACCATAAGCCGGCACACACACACACATACATATGTACACACAAACAGACGTTAGTCGACGGCGGCGAAGGCATTGAAAGCGTCACGCAGCTGCCAAACGAAACGAATACGAACGAGTTCGGCGCGACGAGCCGTTGTTTAAAGAAACGCAAAAAGCGGTAAAAAAAAGTTGCAACGTAGCATGTGTTTATTATCCGCCGACGAAATGCGAGTGCGTTTTAGCATTGGCGACAACAACAGCAACACCAACGCCAAGAAAAGCCAGAAAAGTGGCAACTAAAGCCCATAATGGCAAATATGCAAAGACAAATTGTCAACATCAGCGCTCAAGATGCAACATATCACTGCTTGCAACTTGCCGCTGGCCGCATGCCACAGTGCATACAACTCAGCAATGGATTTTGCGCGCCGCTCAACTCCATTTGGTGGCATTCTTTATGACCCATTCAGCGGCGCACAGTATTTTTGTTATTTATTTATTGTTGTTTTCTTCAATTTTAAGATATTTTTGCATTTTTCACACGCGAGTTGCCGTTGCTCAGTGCAGAAGTTCATGGATTTGCATTAAAAAATGTATTTCAAATGTTTTTAATTTTTAGCAACGTGAACGCTTTTTGCGAACGTCAAGAGCGACTTGATATCTAATTTTGATACTTCTTCTAGTCCCTTGAACTGCGAAGTTTTTACATATTTAAGCCGGGCACTAAAAAATGCTGGACAGCAGCATAGGAGGTGCTCCAACGTCTCTCTCATATCTACTATCTATAGATTGTGACCTGTCATTAGACCAACAACCGTCTTGCAGTCCTTTCGAGATGGTGTCAGTAAAACTCATACGTGTTCTTCTTCGCGCTCTTGCACCTGATCTTGGCGATCCTAGATATCCTTAAGACATTTTATATCGTTTTTAGTGATTTCCGTATTCCTGTAATGGTTCAATAGCCAGACGTATGAAACTTTTGGCAATCTCATTAGCTTTTTCGTTTTTTTTAAATTTCTTCTTGACCTGGAATCCAGTATATATGCAGCCGTTTTCCGGCAGCCACTATATCTACTGCCTCCTGCTTCTAAGGACATTCTCTGACGTAATGTGTTGTGAGATTATTGCCTTAATTATCGCTTGGCTAACGACGTATATATTGATCTTCTTTATGTTATGCACTGCGCAAAGGCTTCCGGCTGGAAGCTTGAAGGGTTGCCTAAGATCCAGCTCTGAACAAGAGATGCTAGCTCCCACTCCATTAGCCATTTTTGATCCGTCTGTGTAGATGTTGCAAATTTCGCTAGCGAGTCGCGTGTTTCTGCGTCATCGATTATCTTTAAGTGTGATTTGAAACCTTCTTTCCGAAATAAAGTGTGAAGGTATATGGTTTATTTTATGTGGAGAATTCACCAATCGCTGCCAATTTGCAGCTGATTTTGCTGCAGAGGTTTCCACTGTAATGTCAATTGGTGGCAGGTTACTTATTTTGCCGACAGTTTCTTTGAGATCAAGGGACAATCATTTCCAGGTTTTCTTTATTGTGCGAAACTAACCTGAACTCTTCCAAACATCGTAAGAACTTGTTGAATCAAGATTCAATCGCCAGGCAAAATGACATAAGGACTTCCAGACCCCTGGAGACATGTCTTAAATTCAGAATTAATTAAGAATTAATTACTTCCATTAATTTAAACAATAATCTCTGACCGACTTTCCAACGTTTTATTTCAGGAGAGCTATCGAAATGTATATAGCCCATCCAACTATAAAAATTTTATATTTTTCAAAAATTTCATAAAAGTTAGTCAGTAAATTTAAATTTTATATTATTATAATTTTTTTTTATAATTTTTTTTTCAAAATTTTTTTTTTTTTTACTAATTAAACTCATTCTCTCACTCACATAAAAACCTGTCTTTCAACGCTGCTATTTCCCATTTGTTGCTATTTCGAGTGCGTGCACTCATTCGACGGCTTGCAAATTGCTTATTCTATTCTTTATTCTTAGTCCACGCGTTGACATAAACAAATGACAAATTTATTTGCGCTGTCATTTGTTTGCCGTCGCCATGTGTTAAACGATGCACGCGAAACTGACAGAAATCACGGCGTAGCGGTAAAAAGCAAAGAATAATGCGACAAAAAACACAACAACAAAAGATTAATTCAAAAGCAGCGGCAAGTTGTAAAACTTTATTTTGGGAACTCAATGAAATTTACATTTACAAATGAAATAATTTGACAAAGAAATGCACTACAAGCAAGTATTATATACAAAAACAAATACTGTACGAAAAAAAATTTTTAAATTGCGATCAACAGACCAAAATTATATGGTTTTGCAGAAGAAAAAAAGCGATGAAAGATTTTGTAGTATAAATCATTGGAATCAGACGCTTATACGGAGATTGAGGTATGAAAAAATATAGATTTTTCCTTATATAATTTTAGGCCTATTCATTACTGGAAGAAAGTTTAATAAAGCCATTATTACTCATATATTCGGTTTGTTGAAATGGACCAGCACGGACCGAGACAAAAAAAGTTCATTATTTTTGTTGAGTCAATTTTATGATTTGTGTTTCGACAAGTAATTTTGAGAAATGCAGTCGAGTTGACATTCCTCAGATGGATAAAACTCCAGATCCATACCGATCGCGTAGTCCAGATTATCTTGGCAACGGTTTTTCAACCTTCTGCCGCACAGAACACTGAAACATCGACGAAATTTCATTTAAATCAACTCTGCGCTCGCCGAAGTTTGCAACCCAGGGGCTTAGAGTATTCGACACTCCACTAGATCTGTGTTAAATTCCAATTATCGACATTGGCAGTGCGAATATTCTTCATTATATATTTTACACCTCTTATACTCAGGAAAAATTTGCGTCTGTGGTTCGCAAGCCAAAGACTTTATTGATCCATACATATTTAAGACTGAATATTGTTCCAAATTCATCTTTCTTGACTGAACGGTCTTGCCGAAGGTCTTCTCTAAATAATCTGTTAAATGTCATTTTCTTGATCATCCTCTTCTATAATAGACCAATGGCTATATTTCTTCTGAAATAAAATTGTGACAATGCTGGAAATATAAATTGTCTTCTGATTTTTGAAAAAGTGCCCGAGACCATCACAAAAAAATATTTTTCAAGTTTAGTTGATATATTTTAAATGCTTTGTATAGAATCGAATCTCAACCTAACACCAAAGCCAGCTGTAAGTGAAAAAGATTCAGATTAAGCATAATATCAATACTGTTATACAAAAAGTAGCATTAGTAACGGCAGTTAGCTGGGCCCCAAACAATTTTCGTCCATAATGTATTTTCCATTAAAACCGCTCTCCCTCCACCGACACTCCCATAAGTATAAGCTACTAGTTATTGAAAATTTCACATACCTCCACCTTAAATCTCTGCAGACCAAGCGTTTTGAAAGTGAAACAGAGTTAACGAAAAAAAAACACACGAAACAACCATAAATTTCGGCAATGTTTTAAAAACATTTTAATCTAAACTTTCTATGCAAAATCAATTCAAATTGATTTTATTATCAGCAACGACATCGGCATTACGCTATTGCACGATTTCCAGCAGAATTTTCGCTTTTTATTCTTCTAGTCCAAACAAGCGACCGACTTTTTAAATTACTTTATGAACTCAATTTGACTGCCGCGGTGTGAGGATGTGATTGCGGTGGAGAGGTGGCAGTGCGGGGCATAGATCGGCCCCAATGGCTATTAAATGCAATAAAAAAGGTAACTGGCTCTATTTAAGTTCCCCGGTGTATAATAATACAGTGGGGGCGCCACAAAAAGGTACAACGTGCCACAATGATGGAGAGTGGTGAGCGCATGGAGAGAGCGTGGAGTGGAGGGCCTACGCGTTGACAGAATGCAAAAACGAGACACAATGGAAGCGTAGAAAATGAAACTGTCGAACTTAGTAGTTATGTGTTCATTCGAATAAACGTAACCCACAAAAAGAACAAAAAACGTATTGACAAGGATCAGAAACATATACTTGTATACTTTTAAGTAAGAGAGTGTGCATATGTGTGTGATTAAGGAACATGCCGACATGCAAAATTTCAGGAAACTGCCAAAGCTCGCCGATAAGGACATGCAACAGCGCAGCGCGTGGCACCGAAAAGTTGAGTGGAGGGAATCCGAAAAGTCAGAAGAGTGGTGGCACATCGAGCAAGCATTCTTCGCAGTCGAACTCAATAGCGAAATGGTTAAAAAGCATTTAAAGCCATTAGCATGAAAAACACATTTCTCTTCATTTTTCTTCATACAAAAGCGATTTTGCCCCCCAAAAATAAATACAAGTATTTGATAATCTGTGCGAACGCGTGGTAGCACCAGCATGGTAGAAACGTCAAGCGAAACGGAAAGGAGAAATAAGTTGCAAGCTCGAACTTTGTTGCCATTGTTCATTCTTATTTTTTTCGACTATTTTTCGTAGCAAGCGCAAAAGGTGTACGAGTATGAAGTGAGCGCAAGATTGCGCGGCAAAGAGCCCATTGTTTGGTGGCGAAAAAATTACACGCGCCGACATGCTTGTGCCTCAGGGCACTGTCACAAGCCACGCGCACAGTTAGGTAACTGTGACTATATTATTTATAGAAAAATATGTGTACTAGCAGTTTTACAGCCGACAACGAAAGGTAGTATCAGAAAGTAAAACCAATCTCGATATAATAATCGGTGTTGAAGTAGTAGCTATTACTAGACAAACTTTTCAAAAGGTCGAACCGTCGCTTTAACCTCTTCTTTCGTGTGAGACCAGTATTAATTTCTATATCTTTCAAATGCAATGCAAAAAAGCAAAGGTATCTCGATAGTTTTTCACATACCGCTATACGTTTAGCGGCCTTAAGACGCGCCTGTTAAAGAAATTGCCTACCTTTTTTTTGAGTCCATTCCGGTTACGAAGACCCGACTGTCGTGGGAGCTTATGTAGACATTTCATTGCCGTGGAAGCTTACTTAGTCCAAAGTAGCGCTAGTTGTCAAGGTAATTCTAAATTGAATTTGGTATCAATTATAATTTATACTCCCCAGTAAACGAAATTATCTAAAACTTTATACTTAATGACTATCAACAGTACCCCCATGTGAAGCAAAATATTACTTCCTGTTCGGGTCTCTTTGAATTTATAGTTCCAAACAATACTCAAAGTCCTTAGAAGTATAATGAAACATCTATCCAAAAGGCGATCTAAGAGGCTTCCGGTATGTCATATTCTCCAGATGATGCGGTCTTCGTTAAGTATATTTGGCTTCTATATTCTCTCGAGATCAATCTCCAGATTTCTGTTTTGCATTCTGATGTATTTTCGAACCCTCTTTCCATGCGTCCATTATTTCACTTTTTTATTTTACAATTATTTTTTCATCAGCTTTTTCCAGACCCAACAACTGTAACTCGTAATTTTCGCAACGTCAGTTCGTGAATTCTTCTTCAGTGCTGTGAAGAGTTCGGGAAATATCGTTCCACAGCGGGTACAAGTCAATTTAGTTATACCGTGCTCTCAGAGAGCTCGAGCGTGATTCGATTTTTTTGCTTTGAAAAATCGCTGTGCACAATATCCATCCTTAATTACTTTTTAAATAAAATAAAAATGTATACCTCTTACTACCCAAACATCCGCTCTGCTGACAACTCCCGACAAGTAACAAAATATCTTTGTTATAGCTTTTGTTGCTTTATTCTACCGTAAATGTTTTAGTTAAGTTACCTATTTTGTTGACAGTTCTCTCCGCAACCCAAATCAATGTTTTGTTGACTGTTTTTTTTTTTTTGAAGAAAGCAAGAAATTCCATTTGCTGCTTGTCATAACAGTTCTTGTCTTACCATTTTGCTGCATTTGTTTACTTTGCAACGGAAACGGAAATTTTTTAAAAATTGATAGCAGCACTTTTTTCGCTTGTTTTTAAATATTCATGCCAACATTGTTTTTCTTTCGCCACCACCTAAATTCCGCGCAGTTCCCGATTGTCGTACAGCGAAAGTCACTCATTCTGGAACGTCAAACGCGCTCGCGGCCTCACAATATGTATGCTCTGGCATCTCCACAATTCGCGTGTCAGGTTCCTTATGCTTTTTCGCCTACAAGTAGTAGCAACAGAAAAAAATCAAACAACAAAATTGATTGAATAAAGTTGTCAAGTTCTGTTTTGTTGTTGTCAACAAACAGTTAGCTAACTTAGGTGCACCTCAAAAAACCAAAAAAAAAGAAAACACACACAAACAACAAAAGAAGTGTGTGTGCTGCTCCTGCCATGGATACCCAATGTAAATATGTCGCTTGCCAAATAACATGCCGTTGTAATGGCAAATAGCTCTCCGGAGTGACATTCCAAAACGCCTCAAGGTATGCAACGAAACAGCAAATCAACTATTGGTACCTTTTATTGGCCGATTGAGGTGCGTTCTATGAATGGCTGAGCGCATTTTTCAGTAAATTTGTTGTTGCGTCGAGCTCCAGTCGATTGCAGTTGTTGTAGGAGTGAAATCTGTCAACTGTGCCTTGATTGAATACTCAAACGACCCGCAGCTGCGTAAATGTTCCACTGTGCCGCCAGAAAAAAATGTGAAAATGTTTGCGAAAAGTTGCACTTTTTTCGCTCGTTTCTGTTGGCAAATCTTTTTCGTCTACCACTCTTTTTGTAGTTTTTTATTTCGGCAGTCTTAACAACTGCTTGCTTTCATTTGTTGCGGCCCAAGCCAAGTTCGAAGTTTGGCAATTTCTCAATTTTACAATTTGGGTAATCAATTACTTTCACTGCTGCTTTGCAAGTTGTTAATTTACCGATATTTATCAAAGTTGTTTGACTTTTCTTTTCACTTCGTTGACAGTTACAAATGTCAGTGCGGAGAATGCGTAGTGGTTGCGAAGCTTAGGCGCTCCCTTCCGCAGAGTTTTTACGATTTATTTTGCTACTATTGAGAAAAATCATCATTCAAAAATGTTGTTGTATTTAAGTGTGTTTACTTATACCCATGTTTTAAGCTAACTTCAAGTTAAAAAAAAAATAATTATTGAAAAAATATCTCTGAAATATGTCTGAAAAGTCCCAAGTAACAGTTTTAAACGAACTTTTTGTAGTAAAGTAATAAGTATATATGTCTTATAGCCAGTTTCTTTATTATTGTTTAAGCTAACCCAGCAATAAGAAAATATTATATATTGGTTGATCTTGAACCTGAGACCACAGCACCTTAAGAAACTTAACTAAAATATGTGGCTCACAATATTCAAGACAAAATATGCTAAATTACAGGGAGGAAAGAAGAACACTTTTCCACAATCATCTCAAATCACCCATCATATGCAGGTGCCATTATATATTTTAACAGGACTTCCGTTATTTGTGCTACTATGTAGTTTTGACGTCATACTAGCAGTAGTAACAACCTGTAACCCTGTCGGAAATATTGAGCTCACCTATGCAGACAAAAAACTAGTCAAAACCATGTATTCGATCTAATATGTGAAAAAGTCAAATACAAGATTAATATTTTTGTCATGCTCTTTTTATTGCATGCGTTCAAACAGAAGGGAGTTTACTCGAAAATTTTTTTTTTTTCAAATTTCTGTAATCCATAAGGATTTCACGGCTGTTAAAATTAATTCGTTAAAATAATCGTCAATAACTCAATCTGGAATTTATAGTAAAATATATGAAAAAATCGAACAATTTTCGAAAAGTTTTGTACTCAAAACAAGACATGAGTTTAAGAGCGACTACCGAAGCTATTCAATAGTCGGAAAGTTAAATTTACGAAACCGAAAATAGCACTAAATTTTATCCACCCAAGGACTATCAGCTCGATAGCATTCTCCAAAACTAGTTCGAATCCTGCCAGAATTCGACTAGAAATAAATTTAATGCAATTAAAGTAAGTGAAAAATGTAAAAAAGATAGTAAGAAAAGCAAATGTTGAAATTTATCATTATCGGTCCTTGAGTTTTGTGGAGCATATAGAGATGAATAATACTTGTTAGTCCCGACAAAAACTAAGGTGATGTAATCGTCTAGTGGATGGCGCTCGAAAAGGCTACACATGCTATGCGGCTTGAACGGGTTCTCATCAGCATCTCCGGTGCGGCGCAGTGCGCTTTTCACTTATGGTTGGAAGCTGGGAGGAATGGTTGCAAAGGAAGCTTATGGTAAAGACTTCTCCGTCAATTTGAGTTTTAGGCTACCGGACCATTATATTCTTTTTCAGGCAGAAGTAGTTGCTATTAAGTCAGCGGTAGCTGATCAAGAAGTGTCTGGCCTCACTAGAAAAAGCACCAAGGTGCTTCATCATCCGACTCATTTGGGTGCCTGGTCAGAATGGAATCGCCGAAAACTGCAAAGCCTTCTTTCTCTTCTTTAAGGATGCACCCTTGCCCCGCTAACATCGGAAAGGAACCGTGTTGGACTCAACAAATTTATAATAGGCGCTTTGTCGTTTTGCAAGAGTCTTATGATCTATTATATAGGAGTTTTAGGTACCACAACGGGCCGACGTTCGAAGCTGTCCAAGTGAGATACCTGTATCCCCATACAATCTACCATCCAGATATTGGTTTATAATATGTCTATCCGAATAGTGGGTTCACGATTACTGTACGTAACTTTCTGATAGTATTTTTCGTTATTTCTAAATTTAAAATGATAAACTAACTGTTTATCTAAAAATAGTATGATTATGTTTGGGGTATTTGTTATTCAGTTAATAGTTTTCCAAATTCAATGTCGAATTTTCGGATTTTTCTTGTCGCGTATAAGATATTCGAGTAATCCCGAACGGATAACTAAAAAATCCGGTTAAAATTCAGAGCTCTAGTATGAACAGTCAAAAATCAATCAGTGGAATATGAAAAATATAAAAGAAATAATGTAAATATATTCATTCATGAATGTGAAAAATATATATTTTAAAATTGGTGGGCGAGTATCCTGTTCTTGTTACCCACACACACACAAACCTACTTATTTATATTCAAAGTACACTCATTAAGCTATGCGTTAAAAAGAAATAAATAATTGTTGTTGTGCAGGAGCAAAAATGAAACGAACAGCTACAACAACTACAACAAACGCCGAACCGCAGACAGTTGTACACTGGCGATTACGTGTAATTACAGCTGCAACAGCAGGAAAACTGGAAAAAATTATAATTATTGTTTTTATTTTTATTTTTACTGCACATACATATATACACACACCGTCACATTTAACGGTGTTATTTTTAAATGCTTTATGTGCTGTAAGAGCGGCCGCAACGCCGCCGCCAATTCAATGGTCGGCGGCGCTGAACATAAATTTTGCGCTCATTTCCCTTTGACCAAAAAGCCAAAGGATTTATTTGCCACAAGATGCGTAAATATGTTGGTGTAGAGAAATAAATTTAAATGTGTTTTTGTAGTATTATTTATTTTTTTTGTGTATTTAATTGCAATACTGAAAGTAAAAAACTAAAAAAAAGTTTGGAAAGTTGAAGGTTTTTGCAACTCTTTTCAAAGAAAATAAAATAAAAAATTAATGAAAATAACAAAAAAAGTGAACTTCGGCTGCACCGAAGCTGTAATACCTTTCACAGGTGCAAGGCTAATAGCTTTGAAGGGTATAACTCCTAGGGGGTCCTATCAGAAAAGTTTGTTCGGAAATTGTAAAGCTCCCCTGACCTGAATAGACCATGCCAAATTTCGTGAAGATATCCTGTCAAATAAAAAAGTTTTCCATACAAGGATTTGATTTTGATCGATCAGTTTGTATAACAGCTATATGCTACAGTGGTCCGATATCGACGTATCTGACAAATAAGTAGTTTCTTGGATAAAAAAGGTCGTGTGCAAAATTACAGAACGTTATTTCAAAAACCGAAATACTTGTTCACATTTATGCCGATAGACGGACATTTGTTGTTTTTTTTTTTTTGAAAATGCCATCCATCATCAATGCAGTCGCCACAGCAACGGTATGTGCTGCTTGCAGGTTACTAAACACCCGGCTGTGTCGTGTAGAAGTCGACTTCTCCAAATTTTCGGCTTTTTATATCTCTTATAAGTCTGACCGTTCATCTGCCTCGACTCTCATTCTCGCATCTTCATTACCATCCTGATATCATGTCTTCCTTTATTTGTTCGATTATCATCTTGTTATTCTCAAATGTTTTCTTTAGCTTCCTTAACTTTTTCCTTTCATATGCCAGAAGGTCAATTGGGATATAACTAATATTGCATTGCCTGACACCGTTCGATAAGCTGTGCTCCGTATAAAAGGACGCTAGGAGCTTTCTCTTTTCTTGGCTGGGCCTCTCCCTATGTTGACCATTATTCTGATAAGTTGGGAGGTGATTTTAGCTGTCTTTTCTACGGCGTGCTGAATTTGTACCCAGAAAGTTAAGTAATTTACTTCCTTTGGGGTCTTTAGAATATCCATAGTCCTTTGCATACTTATTTCAAGAAATAGTGCTTATTAGTTAGCAGTAGTAGCTCTGTTTTTTTCGTAGCAAGCTGGAGGTTGTGTGAGTCCAGCCATGATTTTGTCCGTATCATGACCTGATT